AGGAAAAATTCCCCAACAAGGGTGGGGGGACCCCTTTTTTGCCCATATTTTACCCCCCCCCCCCCCCCCCCCCGTTATCGACCCCGGTTCCCTCCTCCCTCCTCCCTCGTCTACACGTCTTATCGTCTCCCGTCCTGTGTTGTTGGAACATTTGTCAGGCGGAGGGTCTGCTAACGTACGTGATACACCCTCCCGACAACAAGGTTCAGTCCTTGGACGAGAACGGAGAGATGATGACAACCTTCGAGCTAAACAAGAAAGCCTTTCTCGACGTGAGAAGAGAATGCAATACGTTACAAAACGAGAGAGGCGTTTTTGAAACGGCTTGGCTGTGGCTAGTGTGGACCGTATCGCACGTGCCAGGGTGCTATTCAATTTTTGCTCGGGGTTGTCGACGACTCTTTTTTTTTATTCTTGGACACCGATTGGCCTGTGACTGCTAGATCTGTCGCAACTTCTCGCTGACTCTTACTGCTGTGTCTTGTTGTGTTTGTCTCTTTCGTTGTCGTTGTGAGCATGATCGTTTTCTCTCTCGCCTTCCCCTCTCTCTCGATGTTTCGCTCTCGCCCGTTCCTCTTTCCTCTGGTATACATCTTTAAAGGCTAGGTATATCTACATATTTTTTTCTTCTTGTGTTTTCCAGTGAGCCCCTTCTCCTGCGTGTCTTGTCTCTTAACCTATCAATCGTTTTCGCCCTTTTCTCCCTGCCGGCCTGCCTGCCTCCCTCCCCCTCTCTCTCTCGCTCTCTATCTCCATATTTGTCTTTATCTCCATATTTGTCTTGCTCCGTTTTTTAGCTTCTCAAGCCTACCTACAATCCAGAGGGAGGGGTATCGAGCGCGGTGAAACAGGGCTGGGATCACCAGAGAAACCTCGTCCTACACGAGGTCGGTTCGCTATCCCTAGCTGTACAACATGCACCATACAGCACACATCAAAGCTCGTCTGTTGAAAGTCTCGCGATAGCGGTAACAGCAGCACCACCGCATGGCACAATATCGTGCTCGTGACGCTGTAGATCTTGCCACGCCACGCTAGCTGACGCTGCAGATAGCGATGCTTCCCAAGAACGACACAGTGATCCGCTTTATCCTGCCTCACCCTTTTTATTGTTGTTCTTACCCTTTTTTCTCATGTTGTGCCTCTATATTTTTTTCCTTGCCTCATGTCACCCCCGTCCCTATTGTATCTTCTCCAGACCCTTTCCCCAATCCCGCGCGTTCCTTGGTCCTCCATCCCTGCCGACAACACCCGATCCCCATATCACATCCCCCCTTCACCTATGTACACGATAAATGATGCTTCTTGACTTGACTTGAGACTGCCGGAAGAGCTCCGGCCCCCGGCCCCTCGAAATCTTTCACGTGGTGTTCCCCCTGACTGACCCATAATAGTGCGCCTTCACATTCAAAGGCCATTTCGATTGCGAAAGTATGTTGAACAAAACATGCAATTGTGGAGGTTGGGTTAGGGTTTTAGGGGTGTAGAGTCTGCGTACCCCCTCCCTGTTTCTGTTTCCTCATTATCTTAATTTCTCGCGAAGGCGACCCCCCTGACCCCCCCCCTGTATCGATTCTGCGTCAGGCCCTAGTGGAACACCTCATCCCGGCCCTGGAGACAGAGGTGGTGTTCGAGCTTAAGGCGGCGTCGAGGGCTGCGGTCGTGGAGGAAGCGTCTACTTGCCTGGCCTCGAGGCTGATGGTGGGACCGTATGAGAGAGACGACCTCAACGTCTTCCAGAAGGTCACCAAGGCGGACAGCTCTCTCAAGAATGACCAGGTCAAGGGTGTTGTACTGTACTGTACTGTAACGTAGGGAGCGTGTTGGGGGGGTTCGGTTTGTAAATTGCAGGGGGGGGGGGGGTGTACTCCTAGCCGTGCGTGCATGCCGTGTTCGTTAGAGTATTGACCTGAGGGGGGTCGAACTTCGGAAGGGGGGGCGGAAGGAGGTGGACGTTTACAGCATACGAAGTCAAGGAGGCTTTTTGGTTAGTGGAGGTGGAAGATGCTTTCCAAGAGCATGCCATACGACGTTCGTTCGTGGGAGACGGCTACCGTACATAATTTCATGATATCCTTGTGCATGACTACCTTACCCTTTCTACAGCTTTGGGGAGAGATGGAGCACAACTTTGGCGTAAGCACGTCTTGTTTTCGTTCTTCAACGGACGAAACTTTGCTTGCTGGTTATTGGCTGTTGTCTTGCCAACGTCGCCCTTTTTTTTGTTTGGTGCTTCTTGTGGTATGGTGTGGTACTCTTGTCATCCTTGAGCACGAGGATGTGCACCAAAAGGAATGTGACGAGTCGAGAAAACCGTGAACAACGTCTGTTTGCTACATATCTTTTGTGATGCCTGTTTTGCTCGATTGGCAAGACCGACTGGCAACTTTCATATCATCTTGAGGATATCATAGCCAAAGGCAGTTCGTTGGTTTGGTGCCGCACCTGTCATTGTGTCTGATTAGCCTCACCAACACAGCCAACACAACATGTCATGTCATGTCATGTCATGTCATTTCATGTCATTTATTTTAATTTCATGTCTTGTCATGTCATGTCAACGGCAGGTGCGAGTGGTGGGCATCTTCGTGAGCAGCGACAGCCGGGAAGAAAGCTGGGCCGCGGCCATCGACCCCTCCGGGTCCGTGCTAGACCATCTGCAGATCCCCCGCAGCCGAGACCTAAGGGCCAAGAAGCTCAAGGTGCGTACCATCCCATCCCATCCCATCCCATCAGTGTCTTCCAAGTTCACAACATCTGCAATGTCAAGAGTTGTCTTTGCTTGTAGATATATTTTTATTTGTTTACCGATTGTTTGGAACACTGGAATAGTGTCGGTTGCATTTCCCATGGAACAAGATACGCCAAACTTACCGCCGGAAATACCCGCCCATTTTTTTCCAATGTATAACATCCAAATACCCGCGTGATCACTGCTGTACCGGGCAGGCGTTCATCAAGTCGAACCGACCGCACGTGGTGTGTGTGAGCACCTCGGCGGGACAGGCTAGCCGGTACATGATGGACACGCTTGTCGACAGGAGGTCTGGGCAGAACGGAGAGCCCAAGACGGGAGTGTTGGCGGATGCCCACCGCGAGTACCAGCGAGAGAGGTGGGGTACCATGCCGTCAAACCGTACCGTCAAACCGTACCGTCAAACCGTACCGTCATGCCCTAACGTCATGCCGTATGCCGCGATACCGCCGTACCGTCATGTCGTATGCCATCATTCCGTACCGTCAAAATGAACCATCCCATGGCGTACATTTGGAGTCCAACCATGTGTGTGGATGTAGGTGTCAATTGCACGCCATTCGATCTTTCTTCACCGCGAAACCCTTCGGTGGTGTGAGCCTTTCAAGGTGCGGAATGAGCGAACATTCACAACGGCTTCTGGTTGTTGCGCAGTTCACCCCAATGAAATCACGTGACCGGTGCCAATACACTTCACAAAATGGTTGATTTCAACTATGTGAGAAGAGACAAGAGGGGATTGTCCTCGACAAATGACATGCGGGGGAGAATTGAGATGTTCCCTTCATGAATGATTTGTTCGACACGTACCGACTAACCTCGATTCTACCGGAAACCCCTGAAAACGATGGCGATGATGGTCCCATGACATCAGGGGCGATTATGACGACCAGGATGAGGAGGAAGAAGTCTGGAAGCAGTGCTCGCTAGCCCCTGTGAAGGACGACGTGGCTTGCGTGTTCGCGAGATCCACCAGGGGAGAGAAGGAGTTCGCCGACTTTTCTGTGAACCAGAGGGCCGCCGTGGCGCTGGCGAGGTACCTGCAGGACCCCCTCGTCGAGTTCGCAGGTAACGCTACGCTGTTGTCGTTGTCGTTGTTGATATTGATATTGATGTTAATGTCGTTGTTGATGTTGATGATCTTGTTCTTGTTGTTGATATTGATGTTCTTGTTGTTGTTGTTGTTGTTGGTGGTGGTGGTGGTGGTGGTGTGGGGGTGTTGTTGATGTTGCTGCCTATTGTTGTATCACCATCGAAGGTGTCAATGTGCTTGATCTTATTTGGCTTGTGTATCGTTTGTGCTGTTTGTGCTACCAACAAGGTAACAAGGTGGACTAGAGAATAATGATTGATAGTGTTTTTAAGTTGAGTGCTCTTCACTCTTGCGGGCTTGATTTTCCGATGCTGTCGTCTCTGACTTGCGGACGGATTACTTGTAGACAGGTGAACACTGAAGGCATCTCCGGAGAAGTGCGGCAGCTATAGCCCATTTTGTTTTTAACGTAACGTCCTCGTGTTTCGGCGTCGTTGACATGAACCCCTCTTTTTCACCGGCATCGTTGATGTCCAACCTTTCGATGCTGCTACTGTAGCCGGCTGAAACCAGTTTTTTCTTGCCTTGTCGGCAACACGCAAACCTTCACCTTTTATAGGCATGTGGACCACCATGGACAGCTCGGGAAACTTCGGGCACGAGATGTTCTCTCTCAGACTTCACGCCCTACAGGACCAGGTACCTCCGCAGCAGCTGCTCAAGGTCTGGACGCACCGCATGATGGACGCCGTCAGCGCTGTCGGTAAGATTTTTTTTTTCTTTTTTCTTGTGGTTGTTTTTCGGTTGCACGGCCCACTTGATGGCCGAGCGGGACGATGCCTTCTCTCGTCGTGTAGCTTTTGCTTTGTCGAAAACCCCACGCTGACATAACAACTTCTCTTCCCTCTTACAGCTCTTGCAGCTCTTGCAGCTCTTGCAGCTCTTGCAGCTCTTGCAGCTCTTGCAGCTCTTGCAGAGGGGGTGACCATCTCTTGCCTGTATTTGTGCTTGTACTTGTGCTCGTGCACGGGTGACTGTTTCTCGAGTTGACCCTGCTGAAAGTAGTTTTGCCCATGTGCTTGTATTTGCAACCCATGGCTCGCTGTTGAGCGATGGCTTGTCCCGGTAGTCGACCAATACACCCCCAACCGCAATGTAATTTTCAATGCGAGCAGGCGTCGACATTAACCACGCGGCGGAACACGAGCACGCCGTGGGGGTCCTGCAGTTCGTACCAGGGCTGGGCCCCCGCAAGGCCTTCAAGCTCAGGGAGAGGCTGGGTACGGTGCTGGGGGGTGTGGTGCCTTCCAGAAAGGCGCTGCTCAGCTCGCAGGTGCTCAAGTCGCTCGTCTACACGAACGCAGCCGGGTTCCTGCGCATCCGCGAGCGGGGGAAGTGAGTTACATGCATGTTTTTTCTTTTTTTTCCTATCGATAGGAAGGAACGTTTTTTTCTTGCGCTCTTTTTTCTTGTTGTGGTTAGAATTTCCCGCGAAAAACAGGCAACACACAAGACACAAACTGACAGGAGGATAGTGTAGACTATTCATTGTGTGTTTGTGCCTAGAAGTTCGCGAGACCAACAACGGCATGTGTTTATGCGCGAGACCGCCTCGAGCTATATACGCCGCTATCCCGAGAGCTTAGTCTCGACCCTGGCTCTCTCTGTATCTAACACTACGGCTAACCCTAACGCTGCCTCATTCCATGTCACCACGTCAGGCTTGCGGAACAACTGGAGGGGCAGTTGGACCCTTTCGATGACACAAGGGTGCACCCTGAGTGCTACAACACGCAGGACTGGGCGCAAAGAATCTGCGCCAACGCTCTTGATGTGCAGGTAACTACGTCTCTCGATTGGGGGTATGTACTTTGTCTGTGGTACACGATTTTTCCCTGGTCCCCCCGACACTCACATTTCAGTATGTTTTTGCATGTTTATCTTACGGATGGATTTTTCTGCCTCAGTCTTGAGTATGTTTTTATGATGATACTTCTATGCATTAGGCTCGAGTTGCTTCGAGAGCGTGTGATCTTCGTGTTTTGAAGTCGAGTTGTCCTCCCGATCAAGGTACGGCACTGCGTCAACCTAACCTCTGATCGCGTCCTTGGTTTCAGAAGCACAGACAACGTACAGTAGTCAGGTAGAGTGCCTTGCGATCGATCGCGGGGGGTTATTCGATAAATCGTGCATCAGTACAGTACGGTAGACCGCTCTCAAGTTTTTGCGCACGGGTATTTATGTTTACGATCTAATTCTTTTGATTAAAGCAGACGTGCATGGCACAATGTTCCACTTTGGCTAGTCTTTGTCTCCCCCCCAAAACCAACAATGAAGCAACAAATTTAACCGAAGCAGTTGAGGCCCGCAGCTGATAAACTTCTGAGTTATGTGAAGAGAAACTTAGGTCGAAACTCACACAAAGAATAAGAATGTTTGGCTCAGCATACACACCTCAGCGGTCGATCCTATGTACGCTTAATCCCCATGCAGCGCAGTCTAATTGTAACCATCTCCTTGCCTGGACAATGCAAGGGATGAATCACTGAACTGACTGCCCCTTTTTATATATATATTTTTTTTTTGTCAAGGTGGAGGACGACTACTTCCCGATCGTGGAGAGTGCGATGGATGACTCTAGGGAGGCGCTTCAGCGGCTGTGTCAACAGGGGGAGTCTGGGGTCGATCCAAGGATGCCGCCGAACAACCTCAACGATTCGGTGAGGGGAATGACAACATGGGACGGTTAAATTTGTTGTCAGCTCTTTCAGCTGTGTTAACTCTCTCGGCTACTACCAAACACGGATATCGATTCAGTGAGAGGGTTACAAGTGTCGTTCATAGCTTTTTTTCCCCCTGGAACAGTGACGTATCTATTCGTGCTTCTATCCGGCGAAGGCGGAACTATTTTTTTCCGTGTAAATAACTACAACCTGACCTCGCTCGTTTTGGTTTGTTTTTTTTGCGTCTTGGTGTGGTCGTTTTGATGTCCATGCGTTCGTTGATGATACGGCATTTTTGTCTGGCGTCGACGTGTTTGCTGTTCTGTCGTCTATTGTTGTGTAAATTGAACGTTAACTAACAGGTGAACCAGCTGGACCTGACGGCCTACGCCGATGAGCTTCAGAGGCAGGGGGAGGGCAAGCGAGCGCAGCAGCTCGACAGCATCGTGGAGGAGATCCGCTATCCTTACAGGCATGGAAATTATGAATGACATGATGTTACATACACTTGTGATATGATGTGTGGTCTGGTATGCTATGTGACACGGTATTGCGACAGCATACACTATTACTATTTGCGGCGGTATGACGTGCTACGCTGTCTGAATGCAGACGGTGAAGTGCAATTGATGACAGAAGGTGCATGGCTAAGGTTTTGTGAACAAACCAAACGCGTGGTTATCTCTAATCCCGAAGCGGTCTGCCTATTCGCGTGTGACTTCGCAGGGACCGTCGAATGCCTTACTCTACCCCCGGCGAGGATGAGCTGTTCGAGTGGCTAACCGGAGAAACGGACGCCACGCTTCGAGAGGTAATTTCGATCGAATCGATCTAACACGTAAACATTAACATTCGATTCTGCTGTTGAATCCTTATTGTGGGAAGTGGTCGTGGCACGCAACCCTCTCTGTCTCCCCCCCCAACTTGGAACTATTTAGCAACTATTGTCGCGTTGGTTGAATCGCCGACCCGTAGCACGCTTTGGACCGGGAATTAATGCTTGGTGGTGTGTCTACTACACGATGCTGAAAAGCCTTGTTCCTAACGTATCCATATCCACATCCAATTGACACCGAATCGGCTCTCTCTGTCTCTCTCTTACTTCACCTTTTTAATTTGTATTTTCTTCGGCGTGTTCTGGTTCGATGCTTCGATCAGGGAGTGCTGGTTCCCGTGCGAATCATGAGGCACAATGATGCCGGAGTTAGAGTCCGACTGGAAGGCGGTCCGGGACTGTTCGGTTTCGTTCCTGGCGACTATGTCACGGACGACGTGCTTCCCCCGGACCCCATCACCGGCCAGGTGCATATTGCATACAGTATATTATATATTGTATATTTGTACAGTATGGCCCACAGTACAGTGCTGTATGAGGGTGTTGTAATATGATTGTACAACGGTCAGTATGCCCCACACTACAGTGCTGTATGAGGTTGTTCTATTAATATTAGGTGGTTGGTTGGATTGCCGTGCTCTTGGAGGTTTCCGTGATTCCTTCTTTCACTATCGCCGTTTGCCGGGTCGAAAGTTGCTGTTTTGCTGTTTTCGATTCTTTTTTCGATTCTTCTCTCGATTCTTCTTTCGCTCACAGGCTATTCGCGGCCCGCGGCCTATATTTTGTATGATATTTTTTTTGTCGTTCGTCATTGCCGTTTTTTTATTGTTGTGTTTTTTAGAAAGCTGACCTGAAGGGAGTCGTGAAGGAGAACCAGCTGATGGAGGCGGCCATTATCAAGGTCGACAAGGGTCGTTTCGAGCTCAAGCTGTCCCTGAGAAAGAGCGACACAATGCCCGACCCTGACAAGGTGAGGAAGGAAGGCAAAACATGGCTCAAGATTGCATTGCACCCGTGGCGATCTTTGTATACCCTCATGTCCTGTGCCCAGAACGAAACCTTCAGAAGTTATTGGACGTAAACTCCCTCACAATACAAGCGGTATCTTCTCGTTTGCCGTGGATAAAAAATGTCGACCCCATTATAAAATGCGAAGTATATACCACCATTTTATTACAACACTTCCCCACTCATTTCGATGCTTGGTTACACTACGGCTGTGTTGTACTCCTATGTCCCACTTGTAATGTATTATAGTGGGACGCCCCCCTCGGCGCTACTCGAGTCTTTGGTGCTTCGGGCTGGAACCGGCCAGCCTCTCTCCCGAGGCTGGACGAGAAGTTTAATTAAGATAGGGCGAAGCAGGAGGCACGCGAGCGAATCAAGGACCAGCACAGGAAGGTGAGCCTGAGACGCCGGTACCGCTGTACATGGGGGATTATGGTGACTACCTGCCTGAAATTTGTGCGTGGTGCTGATGTCTCGATGTCTCGTCACCAATGTACCGTGCCGACCTCTGCCCTAGATCGCGCGTGTGGACATTTAGACAGCAATGCATCCGTGTGCATGCTTTTGGTGGAAAGCTGGGCAAGGCTGACTGCCCGAGGAATGGATGTTTTCCTGATTTGCATGTGTGGCTTTATATACATCAAGTGACTGTTAGACCCGACAGAGGCTACTGTTTTTGCCTACGGTACAGGCTTCCGGTAATTTTTTGTTGAGCGGTGCCTGTAGGCGCAGCCTTTGTTGATTCGAACGTGTTGCGTCTTCGCTGCCTCTTGCCCTTGCTGCTGCTGCTGACGGTTTGTATTGGTACTGCTGTCGCTGTAGGCGATCAACCGCGCCGGGCGAGGGGGAGGGGGGTCGTCGACTGTACAAGCCGGCGTGCGGTACCCTCGCAGCATCATGCACCCACAGTTCAAGAACTTCACCCACCTGGAGGCAGAGGAGTTCCTCAAAGAGGTATTAATATGAGACTGCTGCTGGTATGTTGTTGTAGTTGTAGTTGTTGTTGTTGTCTTCACATCATGTATGAGATGTCCCGATCTCTCTGCCCGGTACCTCCGCCTGTCCGTCCTTGGCCGTATGAAAGGACCTTTCGTTTTGTAACCATATGAGAGGAGTTCGACGCCTTTCGCGGACCAGAACCGATGCGATCTTCGCCTCGCGCCTGCTACAAACATCTATCATTTGTGCGCGTTTTTATTTTGTCTGACGATGAAGTTTTCCAGCCTCACCCGTTACATGGCACTCATGGCACTGAGCGCTCTCGTAAAGCCCACGGTCCATGATGGCGGGCTTCTCCCCTTTCCTTTCCTCTCCACCCTCTTCTTTTCCCTGTCTCGCTATCCCCCCCCCCCCGTGGTAAATGGTCTAACAGTTGAGGCATGCAGAACATGAGTACCCCCCCGTCCCCTGTTTGTTCGGCGTTGGCGTTGGCATTGCTATTGCTAATTTAGATGAGCGACACTCGTGGCGAGGCCGTTATCCGGCCCTCCAGCAAGGGGCCAGATCACCTCTCGCTCACGTGGATGTGGGTCGAGGGAGAGTTCATGCACACCGACATCAAGGTACAATATGGACGACGGCTTCTGTTCCTGGTGTTTTGATACACGTTGATTGATTGGTGTCTGTTGTGATGTGGCTGGGTGTGACTATTCAGCGCTTTAGTAATGCTGTCTTGTCTCTCGTGTGATATTTACGTACATGTAGACGTTGTATGTGTCGAGCTTGCCTTCTTCGTCAGGAACCCGGTAGTGTATTGGTTTCCCAGTGCGATAACACGACCCCGTTTTCTGCCTTTTTTGTTGTTGGCGGCAATTGGCCAAGCAGCTGAACCTATGCTGCTGTTGCTGTTGCAGTTGCTGTTGTGTTGGCTTTGACTTTGACAACTCGGCGTGTAAAGCTTTCCCAGAAGCTGGTCGTCACCCCTTTGCTGCCCCAAACTCAACTAACTCAAACCAATCGTTGCTCTTGCTGTTGTTTTGGGCTTTGGACTTGGACAGGAACTCGGCAAGCAGCCGGGGAGCATGCTCGCGCCTCGCCTCAAGATTGGGGGAGAGGAGTACGAAGATCTCGACGAAATCATCTCCAGGAGGGTGTCGGCGTGTAATGACTTGGTCAACGATCTTCTTGCCAGCGACAAGGTGATTTGCTCTACTTACTTCCCATCGTTGACTTTATCCCACGGAACGTTCCCAGGGACCATCCGCGTTACATTGCAATCTGATTTATGCTTTTGCACAAGGATACGTGCGACTGTTTGGTGGGACTAGGTTGCATTCTTGGTCTGCCGGAAGAGATACGGCTTTGTTCTCCAGCGGCAGACTGGCGTCATTTTTTTCGGTGACCAGTGTAAGTCTCTGTTCCTGCGCTGTGCATAGGTCGGCTGCTGTGTGGCGTAAGCGAGCTCTTGCCGGTGCAGCCGTCCTTGTGCTTGCAGTAGGTGTTGTTTTTGCTGGGGCCTCTTGAGCTTGTTTTTGTCCCGTGCGAACAAACAACCGCACAAGGGAATCAACCATATTGTACCATCACTTCTTCTAGGCTAGTTCCAATCAATCGTATCGTATCGTATCATCGCTTTCCATTATTAGCCAATTGAATTAATCAATCGTGTGGTGCCATCAATTCTCTAGTCTTGTGCTTGTTGGCCAATTTCTCGGCTGGAACTATCGATCGTGTCGTATCATCGCTTCCCCTTGCTACCTAGTTGAATCAATCGTATGTTGCCATCCCTTCTCTAATCGTTGTTGGCTAACCGTTAACGTTCCTCTCCTCCCGGACAGTACAACCCCGGCACCAGCGCGGAGGTGGAGAAGACGCTTCAGAAGCAGAAGGACGACGCCCCGAATCGCATCCCCTACCTCATGTGTCGGAGGGGGGTGCCGGGCTACGTGAACCTCATGTACCTGCCTGCACACACGTGAGGACCGCCTGATTAAAAAACACACGTGACAGCAGCCCTTGTTGCTCGCGAGTATTGTGTCACACTCTCACCATTCGTGGTCTCTGTCTATGCCGAAGCAGTGGCAGACGGGAGGGCTACCGTACAAGTAGGCGCAAGACAGATCGTGAGACGGCTGGACTCATCAGCAGGGCCCGATTCGACGTACAGGTAGCTGCAGTTTGACAAGGATTATCTCTCTGGACTTGTTCTTCAACCTCTTGCTTTCTGACTGAATCGCGCGCCCGTGCTGTTGTTCGAAACAAACGAACCGACGTGTTGTATATTTCGAACCGTCATCGTGATGGTTTGGTATTTCTCAGCGTGAGGAAGATCGTGGTAGAGGTTAGCCCGGAAGGGTACGTCATGTCCAAGCGCTGCTTCAAGACGCTGCCCGAGCTGTTCAAGTGGTTTAAGCTCAACGCGCAGCAGCTCGGGAGAAGTAGCAGGACCAGCCGCAAGGTGAGGGCAAAACATGCTAGTTTCACTGCTGTTGTCAATGTACTCCCTACGCTAAAGTGTATTATGTGGAAAGCTAGGTCATGTTGGACGAAAGGCCGGAGAACTCCAACTCCCGTATCCGAATTAGCGTTCGTATCGTCTCATCGTCACTTTTATTTTGTCTCAGATATTATAAGTACCGTCCCTCGTCTGTCTCCATGCATCCCACCGCTCTATTATCCCCAACCCCCATGACGCAGTCGAGCTCACGCCAGGCCTCCTCCTCCAACGGCACCAGCACCAGCAGCAGCAGCAGCCACTACCAGCAGCCCCCGCTCCCGCCGGACAACGTCCCCCCTCCCCCTCCCCCACGGCCGGCGGCCCCGGCCCCCGCAGCCGGGCAGCCGCAGTACCCGGCGTACAGCGGTGGGGCCTACGGTTACAACTCGGGCCAGCCTTCCTACGGCTCGCAGGCTGGGTACGCGGGGGCTCCAGCGCCTGCCCGCCCCGGGACACGGTGGGGGCAGACACCGGCTGCCACCACAGCCGCGGCGCCCCAGGATGCCGCGGCGGCGGCGTACCAGGCGCAGTACGCACCACAGCCGCAGCAGCAGCCGCAGCAGCAGCAGCAGCAGCAGCAGCAGCAGCAGGTGAGAGTGCGTGTGGTGATGATGGTTGGGGGGATAATTACTGATTCGTCTCTTTTTTGATCCCCCGTTACGCATGGAAAGTGTTTGCTGTTTCCTGAAGGAGAGTGGTGCGTTGAGATGGGAGATCAAGGGCGGGTGAGCTGAAGATGCGATCTTAGTTAGAAGAGATGGGGTATAAACATCAACATCAACTCCAACACCGTTTTCATACATGGCGCAGAGGGCTGAACTGAACTATGTCTTCGGTTTTGTCAAGCGGGCGAACACGCTCACACACGCTCCCCCAACAAAAGGGAGTTAGAAGAGAATGGTCGGGGGCGAAGGCACCCCTTGGTAGATTAGCTAGCCGCGCACAACGAGAGTATCACTAATCCAGCAGCAGCAGCAGCTTCCAAAGACGTTCTTGGTGAAGGTCGGAAGATGGTTGTGCAGAAGAAGCATTACAAGTGTCGGAGCCGGGGGGGGGGGGGGGGGACTATCGCCCGGGTGACGGTTAGAGTTGGTGGGCACGTGGTGGAGAACCTTGCCAGCAGGAAACGGAACTAAACAAGGCTGCCGCTAACGAGCGATCGAGCAAACTCATTCCCGTGATCGAACGTGCGTGTGTTGTAGTTGCTTCTTGGGCTCTCCTTCCTTGGCGTGTTGAGACGATGACACTCATTCCTCCGCGCTTGTTTTTGTTCTTCGGTTTGTTCGTCCGTTCGACCGGACGTTGTTCCTGCGATACGCCCCCGACTACGGCAGTGGTACGACGCACAGCAGCAGCAGCAGCAGCAGCAGATGCTCTACCAGCAGCAGTACCGCCAGGGAAACGAGTACCACCAGCAAGCAAGAGACGGCTCCCAGGCTCGAAACTAACACCTGGCGAAGTATTTGTAGAGGGTAAAAGGGACTGGAGCCTCGAAATCACTGTAGGGAATTTGTCGCGAAATATTATGCCAAGCTGGTGCGGTTAGTATAGGTGGTGGTGGTGGTGGTAGTGGTGGTGGTGATGATGGTATTGATTGGTACAGTAAATTGGTGTGGCGTTTTGTTCGGGTTGCGACGACAAGGGCGGAGAGGAGGATGAGAAAATGATGCATTCGTATTGAAGATTGTTGGCTGCTACTTGAGTTGTGCCTGCTCATGACAGTACCGGGGTTGACGGTTTCCTGCGAAGGTGTGCCCAGCGGAAAGCTGTCGTAGCAGGGCGAGACAGCCCACCCCTGCACCAAGACTGTGGCTGTCCAATGTCACACGGCATGTATGTATCGTGGATACAAACGTGTTTTTTGTTCCTCGCACCCTGAGGGCATGTGGCAAGGTCGGGCAACAGAGAATGGTGCTGGCTATTAAAGCTTGTCTTGGCACTAGCGAGATTCCTACTGTAGCCTCTCTCATCGGGCAATCGTTAACGGGGTTTCGGTTGTTTGTGTGGCCTACCGTTGACCGTCGAGTAGATAATTTATGGTGCACGGATTACACGATAGATACGCCTGTAGGCGGGACTTTGGGCGGGTAATGAAAGGCGCTACTAAATGTGGCGTCAACGATCCAACACACACTGGTGTGAGATCCGTCCACTGCACACATCTTTTCCTGGTGCTTTCATTACAGCGCAATCTGGTGTTCAATGTCCAAAACACAAGGTCGGGAATGTATATTCTGCTGTGTAGTTCGGGCAACAAGTGTATTGCCTTCACGACAAACAAATTCATGCATCGGATCGTACTCTTCCGCACGTGCTTTGAGTTCTACATAGAGTGCGTCGGAAATCCCAATTAAATGCAGATATGCATAGGACAGCCGGACGAGGCAAACAAACAAAATGTCACACCAACAAACAGGTATCTAGACACTTAGACTATGTATAGCCCTTACAGCAGCAGACTGCATACAAATGCTTACAGCAGCCAGTTCTGCACCGATTTTTAGAGATACGGTCTCTTTTGATGCGAGGGTTCAAAACCTCCCCTCAACGATTGGAGCCATGTTTTCCTTATGCTTTCTAAACTCAGAGCCTCGATGCCTGGTGAGGATGTACTGGTGTATCCTTTAGAGCGAGCCGGCATTGACGATGCACCTGTAGCAGCGTCGTGGTGGAGTGGTAATACATTTCATTTTTGCCTTTTCTCCCTCTCCCACTTGCCATGAAGACCCGCTCCGCTGCCGTCACACACATGCTGTCGTCACTGCTGTACGGATCTCAAAACCGTCGTATACTGCTGTACCTCTGCCGTGCAATCGGGTCCTTGCCTGATTATGCGTTTTAGATGATGCACTTCACGTTGCACCGCGTTTCGGGAGCTGTGCAAAATGAGAATTTGGGATTTGAGATGCTCGAAGAGAACCAGAGAACGTTCCCGAGTATGAGGAACGTTCCGAAAAAGACGAGAGAAAGTTCACAGTCCCTCCCTGTTCAGTTCAGTCCAGCCCTTCACACCTTCCCCGCTACCGAAGCCCTACTCGGACACTCCCAGACACAGTGCTAAGCACAAAGGTGCGGAGAGCTGCAGAAGAGTTCGGGGGCGTGGGGTCGGTTACGCACATTGTTGTTGCAGAAATGGGTCAACAATACTATTCGGACCCTCCCTCACGCCCGCTCTCCTTTTGGCTCTCCTTGTGCGGGGCTCTGGCGTCTGTCTGGGGGGGGTGCTGCTGAAGGCGTGGCACATGGGGCTGAGACAAATGCCAGGGCATTGCGGTGTGCTTCATTGTCTACAGTAGGTCTTTCCCAACCCCCCTCTTTTCTCGTGTCATTCTCTTGTTGGTGGCCTCCCACGTCGCAGGCGTGGAAAAAACGTGGTACACGAGGTCGGAAGTTCAAACGCCTTGTACAGCACTAGAGACTTCACACACCAGCAGCAGCGGGCACAGCAGCAGCGGACTCAGCAGCAGTCAGGGGTGGGAACAATGAGCGCTCTTCCAGTTAACCAGAACTATCCTGGCGAAGCGCCTCCACCCTATTACCAGCAGCAAGCGGCCGTACCCGGACAAGACATGGCACGCTGCAAGGGTGTAAGTCAACGCTCTCCTTGTATGTACGCTTCGTAACATACAGCAGTAGTAGAAACCGCTTGTCGGTTCTCATTTACAGCAGCATGTAGCCTGGTGGGCCTTTTATAGTGCCTGTCGAATAGTACCGGGTCCGGTGTAGTGCCGGTGTTTTCGGCTCGCATACCGTACACTGAAATACCAAGTCATTCTGTCCTTTGAATAGTGCTGGTGTCCGGTATAATGCAGTAAAATCTCTGGACACATACCGACGCTACGCATGGCCCGCTACTGCTGTACTTCGAAATACATACCCACTACATTCGAGTTGTGTAAGATTTGGATTGTTGGTGCTTCGACACATCCTTCTCTGCCGGCAGCAACTCTTTGCTCGGGTTTCCTTCTGATGGCCACGCAGAAGGCTTGTTCGGTACTTATGCCCGAAGCTCGCGAGGTACCCGTGGCTCGTGATAGTGTCCTGCACCTACAAGTAGGTTGGGGCACTGGCTCTATTTCCGGACGACAACGCCCGGTGAACAAATACTGAAAACCTCTGTCAGCGGTAGAAATAAAAACTCCGCACGCTCGTTTCGAACAGTTGGAACGTACCAACCAACGAATACCTTGCTCTCCGATGACCCTAAGCTGATACAACCCGTCTGTGCAGCCACGATCCTACGCACCTTGCTTTTTTCGGAGCTTGCACCGTCCCTCTGCATGGTGCATCGGGTTCAAAATCAAATCAGAGTCCTGCTTGGAGTTTGCAGTCAACTGAGAATTGCCTCTTGAGCCGTTCCACAATCATTCGCTGATTCCACCATTGACTCAACGTAGATAGCTGTGTCATTCGCAACCTGCAAGAGTACCTTTCTCGTCACTTCGCAGCGGGCACATCGCATGCACCTACAAGTCGGTTGTTTTTTGGTTTCTCGGCAGGGCACTGATCTCCGATCCGAGATCTCCAGGATCTACGCGGACGTTTTATATGGGCATGATGGTCACGACGCGCTAGGCTCTCCTTGCCTCGCTCATGTCTCTCACTCGTTAAACTCGCTGAGCTGGTTAAAGACAAGGAACTTGAGTCTCTCATATTGTGGGCAGAAATGCTCTTCACAAGAGCCCTCGAGCGTGAAAACGAAGTACCCGCGCGCCGAAATGAAGTACAGTTTTATGCGCGCGCCAACTTGATTGTTTCTAGCTTCTATCATTCGGATAGATTGTCATACACGGAGAGAGAGAGAGAGAGAGAGAGAGAGAGAGAGAGAGAGAGAGAGAGAGAGAGAGAGAGAGAGGGAGGTGAATGGAGCATTCTAGCCACAGGGAGGGAAATATCTTCTTTTCTCTCTTCTCTTCTTTGCGTTGTCCATTTTTATCTCTGTACATGTGTGCTGTCCCTCGACGTCACGTGAGCCGACGGAGCTCAAAGGCTGGCTTGCACATGAATCTCGGGTCATGCCTGGCGGCTCCGCAATGCTAGGTTTGACCACCCTCACTTAACAAATATAGTGTCGTTTGGTAGTGGTCCAGGTCTATTGCTGATGTCGTTTACTCCCTCCCTCCCTCCCTCCCCCTCTCCTTTTCCCATCACGTGTGCTTCCTCGGCGCGTTTGTTGCTTTCATGTGTTGGCGCCGATCTTCTCTATCTTTCCTGCTTCCACGGGTAATGCAGTGCGGACAGCAATTCGTTCGCAAACCAGGTTGGTTGAGTTGACTCGAAAGTAACCGACTGACTGACCAATTGGAACCGAAATCTGAACACAGCAGTGCCATCAACTTGCGGAAACTGCTGTAAGGACGGTATTCGATGAAAGTACTGTTGAGTTTATCCCCTCACACCTCTCTTTACGGTTATCTGAAGCTGGTGGCATTCCTCTTTCGCTCGCTCGGAAAGCTGCTGTATTCGCCAAGAGTCACAAATTGTTTCGCCTCTCGTATGACTACCTTGAAAGAGTTTTAGTGCGGAAGATGCAAGATTTGCTGTTAAATGGTGTCCTTGCTAGTGCGCACAGTTAGTCCTTGAGATCGTGGGCACTGCAGAGCTACTGCTGACCCATGCCTTGTCTCGCCGCCGTTTCTTTTTGTTGACCACTTCAAACCAGCGCTTATCGCTGTCCCAGCATTTCTGCCGGATAGAGGCTCCAATCCGTGGCCACAATACCATGGTATTTTCCTTTTGGTCTGTCGTGTCCGTGTCCGTGCTGGCCTGACCTGGCCTGGCCACCCGCCTGCACACTATTATACCGTACACACAGGAGAAAACCCGGCGTCTGCCCAGTGGCACCGGTGCGAGAAGTGCAACAAGCGACAGACGCGGGACATGCTCCTCGTTAATGCTACGTGCGGAGCGTCGTCACTCTGCAGCATCCAATGAGAGACGCATACCGTACAAGGCTGCGGGGCTGGGCAGAATTCTTCGTTTGTGTCTGCTGTCAGCGCTTTTCCCGACTTGTTTTTGATTTGGCGATCGCTCTTTGACGGAGGAGGCAGTGAGGAGGGTGGCCGCCCACGACAAATCGAAGAGACGCTTGTTTAGGCACCGTTGCTGGTGCGGGAAGACTCTCTGATCTTCTTCTGCTTCTGGGTGCTCGTGGTATATCATACTGTTTGTTGTAAACTGTAGGTGTCGACATCACATACATTTGAGAGCCATGGAGTCCTTGGATCCCGGACACGGAGAGAGCCTATGTCTGCTACTGTGGTGGGAATGGTGGGCATTTATGAAAATCCGTGACCTACCTTCGTGGAAATGGTTGGGGGGATTAGCTCCTTCGTCAGTATGGAGGAGATGCCGGGGGTGACTCTGTAGATGATAGCAAGTTGCAATGTTTTTTGCTTGTAGAGATACTTTGTGTTTTTTGCTGGTAGAGATTACTTTTGTGTTGTACCCGGGTGGTTGAAATAGAAATACGTAGCTATAGGCTGCATACCTGTAGGCCGTTCGTATGCAGCGCGGCATGCCTCACACAGCGTGATGATACTTAAAATGCCATCAATTTCTGCATTTGAGTAGTGTTCGGTGTCAAGGAGACGTGGCGCTCCTGGAGTGGAGTATTATGGCTTGTCATGTTCGTGTGTCCATTTGTTTGGCGGGTATGTCTCTTGTCATCAACGGTGGGCGTGGTCCCGCTTTTGTCGTGCTGAACAACACGATTTATTTGTGTTGTGGGTGGGGACGCCTACTACGAGAATGCGCATGCCCAATAGCCCCGGCCTCCTTGACCGTGTGGGTGCTCATGTGTGGCACCCAGGTAGGTACGAGCAGCTGCGGAGGAGCAGCAGTCTAACCTACGATCATCCTGCACGCGATACCTCGCTGGAACTCGCTCGTTGCATGATGACCTACTTCAGTACACGGTTTTGGCTCGTGTGCGACCAACAAGACACCGAGCGCCCTATTTATGGGTCGCCTGCAGAGGACATGTGAATCATTCCACGCCAGTCGCTGCAGTTTGTGGATGTCGTCGGCCAAAGGCCTCTCTCTGATGGCATGCGTTGTACACTGATCACACTCGACTCGGAGCAAGCGGCAGAAAAAAAAAGCAACGTCCAAAAAGGCAACACCGAACCACACCTCGACTCACGTTTGTTTGCAGGCCGTGTGCAATCAAAACTGGACAATACGCTCTGTTTCTGGGACGCGAGCAGAGGGCATGTGTATGACCACACGCCACTGGCTGCTGTTTGTGGGTGTCGACGGCCAAAGGCCTCTCTCTGGCATGCGTTTTTGACTGGTCGCGGGTGACACACGGAGCAAACACGCGGCGGAACAAGAAAAATACCAAAAAGTCAAAACCGCAACACACTTTCGTTCACGTTTGCAGGCCGTGTGCAATCAAAACTGGACAACACGCTCCGTTTCTGGTACGCGAGCAGAGGGTATGAGTATGAACACACGCCATTGGCTGCAGTTTGAGGATGTCGACGGCTTAAGACCTCTCTCTGGCATGCGTTTTGAACTGGTCACATATATATTATATGCAGCAGGCGCAAAAACGGCTCTTTTCGGCCCAAAGGCAAGAACATCAGCAGAGCAATGTGGCAGGGTTGACGTTTTCGGCTCGTGTGCGGCCAACACGACGCAGAACGCCCTGATTTTTAGATACCTGCAGAGGGTTTGTGCATGACCTCATGATACTGGCCTCTGTTTGGCCAGCAGACGGTGTAGTTCCTCGTTCTGGCACGATCGTGGTGTGACCAGGGGGTACCCCCCCCATTTCTAACAACGATATTCCAACAGGATCGCTGTTGTTGGAAAATGGGCCAATTTTCTAACAGGCCGGCCGGAATCGCTGTTGGAAACTGCGCTGTTGGATTTTGGACTGTTGGAAATTGGCATTTTCCTACCCGTAAGACGCCCAAATTATTTTATTGGCTCAGAAAAGGACCCCCCCCCCCAAATCCAATCCGGATATAATCACGGCGTAAGACTCAGCCTAAAGTATCAAACTTTTCGTGGTATTTCGTTGTTGTATCGAAACTTTTCGAAACTTCTTATCGATCCATTATGCAAGTAGCAGGTGGTTGCCCATGGTCGCTCACGGCTACCCATGGGTGGTGCGTCACTGTGCACAAAGGGACAGCTTGTTCGCGGCACGAAGGCCCCGTGGTGGTCCATGAACTACCGTGAGAATAATCATAACGCAATTAAATTTTGGGTGGACATGAGGAGCCATGAGACGCCATGGAGCACCATGGTTTCGTTTTTCTTTCGGACAATATGAATCATTCCTTACAAACACATGAGTAACTCCTTCGACATGTGGTGCCTCATGCGCAACCATGGGCAATCATGGGCAACCATGGGCAACCATGGGCAACCATGACCTCGCAAAACACACACACAAAAAAAAAAGCCAACATATAACTAGGACGAATGGATGGATGGGTAGTCTTTCTGTGTGTGTGTGTATTTATTATTCCTTAAAACTAGGACGACACGTTGGCCCATGGTGCGTCGTGATCACTCATGGGCACCCATGACAAATTGTAGTTGCCCACGATTTTTTTTTTCTTTCTTTTTCTTTTTCTTTTTCTTATTATGACACAACGAATCCATCTCTATCATAGAAAAGAGTCAGAGACAGATAATAAGCAATGAATCCATAGCGTCAGAAAAAGCTACCTGTATGTCTACGATTTCCCAGACAGCATATAGGGACATCTCCCCTGCGGGTAACAGGCTCAACAAAACAGGTTGGTAGCTGTCTTGTGTGTCTCATATATATATATATGTTATGTTGGGAAGGTGCAGCAGAAAGAAAGGTGTTGGGTACTGTTGGGTAGTCGGGCGTTTTGTGTGCGGCACACTGTTAGTCGTAGGGCATGCAATTTTTCTTTCTTCTTTTTTCGGTAAAGAAAAAGGTAGTTTGAGGCACAATGTTCCTCCATAGATAGGCACCCATGGCTGCCCATGGGGAAATCTTTTCGCGAATGTCATGGGCAATCTCATTGGGTCCCATGAGACACAGTGAGCCTTCTTCTCATGAGGCCCCATGAGATTCTCATGACTAGTCTAGTCTCATGGGGCCCCATGAGGTCTCATGCGGGCTCATGGAGCCCCACAAGAATCTCATGGGATCTCATGGAGTCTCATGAGAACCCATGAGATTCTCATGGGGGGCCATGGGACCTCATGGGTTCCCATGGCGCCCCATCGGACCCCTTGGGAGCCGTATCATGGGGTTCAATGGGGCCCCATGGGAACCCATGGGCAACCATGAGAAATCTCATGGGTGCTCATGGAGTGACCCAATAATGTCAGCCCCCCCCGACGAACCCTCTCGGTAACCTCACTTACGACGAGAGGGCCGTCCTGTGCCGCTACTTTGGTCCGCACAAGATTTGCTGCGTGCTGCTGCACGAAATCTTGCTACCAGCACCGATTTCCTAGCAGTTGGTTGCAGCTGAGCTATCACAGACGGCGTTCAGCAGTGTTGCGAGTGTATCGTACGGAGTCTACCTGTTGCTTAATCCAGCGCCTTGTCGTCGTCTCGCAGTGGTCCACCATAGCAGCGGGTGCTGGTCTCTGATGGGGCTGTTTTTGAACTAAAGGGATGTTGCTACATACGGAGTACATACTGTAGGAGTATAGTTTTTTTGGTTTTTCCGAAAGGGAACATGTCTTTGTCTTCAAACCGGTACTTGTACTTAGACAATGTATGGAAAACCGGATCAAAGGGAGAAACACTGGCTTGTCACGACGTCCCGACCCTCTCTTAAGCCGTACGCCGCCGCTGCTAGACTCAAATAATATGACTACTGTAAACATCTGGTGGTAAGTACCAGTGAACGGGCAAGGTTTTCTCGTGGTCTCCACGCGTCCGAACCACCAGCAGAACCTCACTATACTGCTGTAAGTCTACGCAGTTCTTAAATACATACGTACACGGGCCTCTATATATAGAATAGAAGCCGAAATCAAACCATTAGACTAGTCAGCGCTGACTACTAGTCTAATGGTTTGATTTCGGCTTCTATAAAAGTTAGTCGTGAGGTTCGTGAGCCCCGTCACTTTCACTTCCGAGGAGGGTGACTCCCCTTGCCAGCGCTACTGTATCCGTCCAATCTTTGTTTCGCTTCATCATATCACTCGCCACCCACATATCCTGCAGAATGTTCCAGGGTCCACGAGTCCTTCCGTCACCCATACTCTGGTCGAGAGTATCCAGGGTCTCAGGAAAAAAACGACTTCAAAGTGTTCAGCCTGGGTCTCGCACGGTGGGATAACCCCTCTTCAAGGAGCCTTCTATCATCCCGCACCACAGCAACCGGCATCAACGATGGAGACAACCCGCACCGCCCGAGAGGAATCGTACAAGGCCGAGGTGCGAAGGACCCATGCTCTTCTCAAGGCTATCGAATCCGAGGCGCCACAAGGCGATAGGAGGCACGGGAATAGAGGTGCCGAGAGTCGACAGCACGCTGAAAAAATGCCCACCGCGCCAGCAACCATTCTTTTTTGCTCTTCTTGTGCCCCTGTCAAAACTTTGGTTTACCGGTACTCCCTCGCTACCCACGCTAGCAACAGCGATGACAAAGGTATGCGCCACGAGCTGTGTGTATGGTCCGTCTTGTGTGGTGGCTGATACAGACCAGGAGGCTATAGGACGCTCAGAAATTGTGAGCGCGAGAGTGGTGGACAAGCGGGAAAAATGATCCGCCGCATCTTCAAGACAGGATGGGCTGTCCAAAACGGGTTGTCTTTTTCTTGCGATCTTTTTTTTGAGGAAAAAAGATATTGTAAGAAGACCTTCTACGGCCAGTTGTCTTTTTTTGTCTTTTTTTGAGAAGGAAAAAAGAAAAAGATCATAAAAAAAGACAACCACAAGAAATGGCCTAATAATGCCTTCAGATTTTCCGCGAACTCTCATTTGTATATGGTGTGCCCGATATTGACTGGAAAGATGTACGTACACATTGTTTAATCCGGCTCTGTGTGTAGGTCCCCAGTTTGACAACTGAACGTCTGTGGGGGGTCTGTACTTACAGTCGTAGGTGGCCCGATGTATGTAGCGACATGTATGTACGCGCAAGCCAAAAATATGCCGCTAGTCAGGGCAGTGCCGCTATTATTCCGCTGCATTATAGCGGCATTATACTTGAAGTCTATAGGGGAGAAAAGGTTTTGATGCGTACACTACATGTAAATCACGGCAAATAAAAATGCATCTAGTTTCCCGTAATGCGTTGTACGTGCGTGTGTTTGTTATGCTTGGCCCAATAAATATATTGATTCTTCATGGTTGGATCATTCAAAACGAGACACGGCTGGCTGATCTCGGCCCGTCACGTGTAATAGAAATACTTGTTGTTCAAGTGACAGAGATGCAATCCTTTTGCGGTCACAGCCTAGTCAACAGCAACATACGCAAAGCAGTGAGTACCGCAAGTAAATGTTATCCGGTGGGCCATGTAAGATGGGTTCGAACCGCGGAAAATCACATTGAAAACCGTGTATCGTGTACGTATGTAGTACGCGAAATAAAAACGAACCCAGAAACAACACCTCAAACGCGGTAACAGCATAGAGCACACAGAACAAAAACTAACAGGGACACGATCGAACCACGCCGGAAACTGAATAGGAGAGAGATACAAAGGAGAAAGAAGCAGGAAACCGGATGCGTCCTGTTATTCGACAGGTCAGCATATTCTTACATTTTTTCGGACTCCTATGCCTACGATCGTCCAGATTTCGTGAATAAAATGCCGCTTTTCTGGCTTTGTCGTTTGATATTTACACCACCGGTGCCCGCCGCGCCTAATTGGCGTCAATGTGGGCAACTTTATGCCTGAACTAGTTTATACCTGGTATGGTACAGCCGTGCACATTCTAACGTGGACGACCCCACAGGTACAGCATGCTGGTAGTCTGTGCATGCGGTGCCATACCCACTCGACAAGTTCATCACCTCCTCATGAAACTTCGACAAACAAACCGTTAGATCTAGCACATCAACGATCTACCAATGTCTAGCGTTACACGCTGTCAGCATCACCAAACATCGATGAATCGTGGGACATGTGAGAGCCTTCAACGGCTTCGAAGAACCCTAACCTCCCTTCGTAGATATCGACTACACGTCAAGGGAGCTTTCAGCCACCCGCCCCGTCGTACCGGCCCGCGTTCCTTTCGAGATGGGCGTATAGCTGATGCTTTTGTTCCTGCAAGTGTGGGGGCACCACCTCGTAGACGTCCTCGAACATGCTGCCCAAGCTTGGTTTGGCCTTGCGTTCGGCCGTTTCGAGCGCCTGCGTACAGATAGTCCAGACTGACAGCTTTAGAGGAAAACCGAAACATGGCAGGATACCGACGTTCAAGTCGACCCCATCGAACGGAGTCTGGCAGGCCCCGTCGCGCATGGGTGGGTCACTTCCATGTTGAAGCATGGTGGGATAAAAAAACATGGTTTCAACGCACCCGGTGCTTTTGAGGCCGGCACATCTCAGAGGACTACCGTATCCGGCGGCAACAAAAGGTAGGAATACCGCGCCGACCAAGGATGGATGCGGCACACTTGATCAGGCCGGTGTCACCAAAAACAACTCAGGTATGATGGATGGAGGGCACGGAGGGCAGCCATGTACACTGAACACGCGGTACTACTTCCATATAAATGTGCAAGACTGACCCTGCATGCCACATCATATGAGCGAAAATAGCTCAACCCAGCAGGCACTACAATTGTATGTACTTTGTAACGCTCCCTTCCTAACACGCAACACAACAAACAACTCACAATGTTGCGAGCGGGGAATTAAGAAGACAGACAACTTGACGCCGCCGAATACATTGGACCTTCCGCACAGATGCAACAGATGGAGCCGACACGCAAATTCAAAGTACAGCAAGCTCGCACCAGAAGGCCACGTACATATGCATGTAAGCGTTGAGAATATGTGGTGCAAGACCCGGAGTTGCAAGCACACGGCCACAGGACCAGCTAGATAACTGCCACGACACGCCACGGAGCTGCAAAGGGTTAAAAGATGCGGCCAAAACTTGGGGTGCAGACTACTGTGGTCGCACCAACGTGTGCCCCGCTCACATTATGAACTCGCAAGTAGGAGTACTCACAATTAGCACCGACCGCCTTTCCCTGTCCCTCAGGACTCGGTCTTTGGCGGAATCCCACCAGCCCTTACCCTCCAAGTACGAATAAAACCGTCGAATCGGATGATGGTTCGCCTTCCATTGCTTCACCTGGAAGGAAGAACGACAGCGAAAGGAGACGCATCTGGGCCAGCCTAGCCTAGCCTATCGTACCCCTCGAGCGAACAGCTGTGGCGGACGAGGTGAAACTTGGAAATCTCGCTCACATCAACCGGGAAACCGAGTGTTGGATGCGTCACACATATCTCTTACCCCTTTCGATGCTCCTTGCAAAAACCAGCTTTCAGTTTGCTAAAGTCACCACTCGTTTCGAGAGAGTACCACAACTGCGAGCAGAAGACGAGAGATGCAACACGCATCCGAAGAGTGATTGAGTGCTGATGAAGGCGGAAGGCCCGTCAACGACAGGAACAAGTGTATCACCCACCTCCGCCAATCGTCAACAGAGGAAGACCCGCCGGTCTGTGCACCCGGCCCATAAAAACGATGCGCGTCCCAGCACGCCACTAACGTACGTCTATTCCATGCCGTGGGGTTTCGAGGTACCGTGCAGTCCATGCATACCTCGTTCGAGCTCCGATAGCGGCTCCAGTCGTCCGATGTCGAATGATGCCCCAGGCGGTAGGTCATGGCCTCCATCAAGACCGGCTTCTTCTGTGACAGGCAAACCCTCCGAGCCTCGGCCGTTGCGGCAAACATCGCCAGAGCGTCGTTGCCGTCGACCCTTACGGCGTGCATACCATAGCCCGGGGCGCGAGAGACGATGCCATCACCTCGGTATTGGTCTGCAACTGAAGTGCTGCGCGAGGGGTAGCCACCAAACGGGAGGGAAGAGCACATTGTGCAGCCGGAGAAGGGCGTGGAACCGTGCGGCCTTAACTGTCTCATTTGGGAAGAGCCGAAACAACGCAACCACGTTTCATATATTTTTGATCTTGAGGTCCGACACAGAACAGACCCACGCGCGCGCGCAGTCCTATAACAGCGTGCAATGTAGATACAAAGCCCGAACCCAACCGTGGACAGACACGGGTGAAAGGGTAAGAAAACCGTACGATATCCCTTTCAACATCGCTGTGTCGTTTGTCCTGCCTGGGAAGAGCAACAAACGAGAACGACAACACCGTCGACAGCAAGACACGAATTTGTCATCACCTCCCAGAACTACATCACTACACCACACATCGAAAGCCCATCGCGACCCAAACCATCGTCTACCCCAGTACTCGCTGGCGGGTGCAACTGCCGTCTGTCACTCCCATCTGTGATACCACACAACAAAAACAAACCTCGCGACACTAAGCAAACAATAACGAAAACATTATCAGCTCGGTTTTAAACGAAATACGTCGTAGCCGTTGAGGAAAGCATGCGTTCCATCAACGTGTCACTGCATCGTCCACTTGCGCACCTGATGGCATAACCGTTGTTTCGGCAAACAAAGAGCACGGGCACGTCCCTCGTGGCCGCCAGGGCAAGCGCCGCGTGAAAGTCTCCCTCGCTGGCCGCCCCGTCACCAAAGTAGCAGACCGCGATGTTGTCCTTGCCAGACAGCTTCAAGGCATAACCCGCGCCCACCGCTTGAGGAATCTGGGTTCCTAGCGGCGACGAGACTGTCTGCGAATGCAGAGCAGAAAAACAGTACTTGTCATGACGCTGGTTCGCTGGTACCTACAACATGTGGAGGCCAAGGGTGATACTTGGGGGGCATGGAACCGTGCAGCTGCATTGAAGAAGGTTGGGTATTGGGAAAGATAAAACTGCGGTGGGGATCGCAGGCGTAACGCTATAACAGGCCCAGACTAAAGGTATATACAGGGGCGAAAGTCAGTATCTTGCTCATTTCTCAGATCTCCGCAAACAAGGCCGTACAACCTGCTGCCGAGTGGAAAAATCGCTCCTACACGGACTCCAGAACGACCTCGCCACAAACCTATCCACGACGCTAGCCGGATCCACTTAGCGCCGAGATGCACGAGCAACGACTCAGAAGGGTACACCAAAAAGAGCTGGCTTCGATGCGAAACCACACCTGAAACCACACTCACCTGGTAGTGCAACTCTTTCGAGCCATAGTGGACTGGCATCTGGCGACCTGGAAAATGTCGCAGTACAACAGTAGTTGTCAGAGGAAAAACAGGTGGTTACCGACACACACAAAAAAAAAACGTTACAACGACACGGGTTCAATGCCACATGACAGCACATCCAGGGTGTCACTCCCGACAGGCATGTACAGGGTGTTCCGTGGCTACGGACGGACTGTGTGACAAGCGACTAGATCGGCCCCGTTTGCGGCCAAGACCCTAAGAGTTTTCCAATGTGGAGAGCCCGACACACTACCACCGAGCTACTGTCGAAACAACTCACCAAACGTTCCCTTGTTGCCAGTTAATGCTCGCGAAGACGACTTACTCTTGTACAGGTACTTTTCGTTCCACGAAACAGTGCCCCAAGCAACCCCAACACTACCGTACTCGGCAGCTACATCCGGATGCTCCCAGTAGGTCGAGTCCATGCGGCACTGACTGTACCTTTGCCGAGGTCGCTGATGTTGCTCAAGCACTGGTCCGCAAAGCTCTGAAAAAATGTTGAATGCGGACGTCGGCGGGGATGCCCGAGCACACGGTAAAGTTGTGACGCAAGTGTTGGCTGTGGTTGGCGTCGTGTGACAATGATGGGCAGCGAACCTTAAACATCGACCGAACCATCAAGCAAACCCAAGACAAGTACAGCACTTGTTTGTCCGGCTTTCTGGCGCTTCGACGAAAAAAAGGAGTTCGCGTTGAATGCCGTTTCCCGTACTTCTTTGTGTTGCAGTGACCTACAGGATACCACCATGCCTCCTGGATCCCCGAAATGTTTGTCAGCATCTCCCATGGAACGGTTTGCCTCTCAGGCTACTACCTCAACACTAGTGTGACGCGGGTAGCATCGCATCTCAACTGCCAGGACCTTCTTATCAAACATGTTTCACCCCGAGCACGGAACGACACAGAACGCTCTTTATCACCCCCTGCTTCCTCAAGGCTGAAACAACTCGACGACGTTTCCTTATCCAAGGGCTGGTCCCCACTACCCATCTGCTCTGCACGCAAGCTCATGAGAGCTTTGAAGAAGCGGCATCGACCACCCCCAAAAGCTCAAACGACGCTTGTCACCCGCATACCATGGTATCAATTTTACAGTGTTCCGACAACAACACCACCTGAACGCCGAAGTCCCGCCACATTAGGAGGCCCGGCTCCCGGTATTGCGTGAAAGCCATGTCATTCATGTCCAACGCCGCCGCTCCGCCCATCTGAAGGGCCTCTTCGCCGGCCGACTGCAGGTAAAACGAGATCCGGCCCTACACGATTGTTGGTGGGCAAAAGAGAACTGTGGGTTAGGGTGAACGTTTCACTCACTGACGTTTGTCGTGCTACGACAGACCATTATCAGCAGAACCATGCGCAACGCTGAACGGTACTGGAGTCGAGGGGAAGATTGTAACGCAGGGGGGCAGATTAACATTTACTTTACTCCTCTTGGGGATAGAAAGTTCTTGACCCTGAAGACAGCTGTGGGGCGCAAGTATATGCGAACCAGGAAAAAATCCGTCCCGTATAACAGAAGGCCAGACACAGAGCAAATGGTTTACCGTGCCAACCTTTGCTGCTGTGCGACGCTGTGCCGTGCTGTACAACGAGCCGTTTAGGCCGCACGCGACCAATGGTTCGCAAAATACAAGCGAAACTAAACAATCGAACGTGGCCGGGCCAAGTTACTTTACCGCGGGTACCATTCAATCACCACTTTGTTTAAATTTCCCGGTACTGTGTTTGTGTGCGGCTGTTGATATATCATTGGCAGTCACCTAACCTAACGGAGATTATGCGACAGCGAAAACAAACGCGCATGGAGCTGCTCCTCGCACAGGTGGGGGTGGGCGACTTACGATCCAGGGAAAACGTTTTCTACGACAGATAAAAACCAAATGCATCAAACAGGTAAGACTACCGTATACGACACAAGGTAACACACCCCTGGAATAATATTTCGGCGTTCAAAATCATGTTATATATATACTCACAAACAGAATGCTCGGCGTGTCGCGACACATTCATACTGTTAGTATGAGAAAAAAAATGGTAGCTCCAATTGTTTTTGGGTACGGCAGCATGGACCAGACATTGACCAGAATGTTTGCCTACCGCGACGACCATGACCGGATGGGATACCTCCTGCGACGACGAAGCATACTTCAATGCGATGCGAACAACCGTGCGCGTACCGTGCACCTGTCATATGATGCTGTCGACCAACAGATGCACGTATGCATGTATTCTACATGATGGTCTTTCTGGGTCTCCTTTGGAATATCTCCTACATGGCACTCCTACAAGGAAACCGAAACGCAACGATTGACACGGCAATACCCACTCCATGGCTCTGACAGAACTGTTCCAATGCTCGAATCAAAGCGGAGCACCTCCTGTCGACGAACGCGTGATCTGAGTGTGAGTTGGTGATCGATGTGGCGTGTGTCCAGAAAAATTGTCACGGGAGCCAGCAAGCAGTAAAACGTGGTGTGCCTCCTCGTTCGAATTCTTCGGGCTCGACAGACGAACGAGCCATGTATGTAGAAAAGTTGCAGTAGATATCTACCTTCAGTTCGATGGCTCGTGATTAGAAAGAGGTTGTCTAGCAGCGCAGTTTGGTGGAATTGCACGGACGACGTGTGGGTGCCTACATGTACACGTCTGAACGACGTTGCCTGACCAGACAAGAAAGGGGCAAACGGTCACGCGCGTGACGTCACACTGTATTACTTGTGAAGAGAGTCCAAAAAAAGACCAGAGAGAGGCAGTCCGGTCTTCCGCAAGCAGTTACATATAGCAAATGTAATTCGGCTGTTTCTCTTACTTCTGTACGTAGACTTTCTATTTTGGTTGCCACCTACAGCAGTATTGTGATATATCAACGTGACGAGTATCCTCGGCGTTGCCTGTCTGATTTCTTTCTTTTTGCAGTTCGCTGTATTTATTCCGTATATACAGTTGATTATACCCAACGCTCGATCTCTGAATGGATTGCCCGTCCTGCACGCATGTACAAGTAGTGCGCGTGCGTGTTGAAATGCAGATACAAATGGACGTTCATGAATAGGTCACATCGGCTGGAGCGGTTGCTGCCAGTGGACCCTAAGATTCAAAATGTAGTCCGAACTTCGCCCGGGCAAAGCAAATGCTCGGAGGAGACAAAAGGAAGACGGTGAGCCGGTGCAGAGGGAGAAACAGCGCGCATGATCGCACATGGTCGCGCCATCCTGGCGTAGGCAGCATTGCACACACCGTATGTCTAATTGGCACTATTAGTAACCCACACATGAAAGTATGTATTTACTTGCCTGAAACCTAACGGTTGGAGCAGCACACGTACCGTATGTATGTAGCAGCAGCAGCGGCGCGTGAGGACACAAACAGGAGAAGCAAGAAGCGGGGAATAGCAGGGCTTCAATAGGGCAGTAGTAGAGCCCCCCGGCTCAAACCAGACCATCTTCACCCGCGAGCAATCGATACTTCGAATGAAGGAATGGATGTACACAACAAGAAGATGCATTCATGGGCGGGCGAGACCCTCGTTCTTGAGATACTGGCGAGCTTCTCTGGCTGCTGCTGCACTGCTGTGTAGGTGCACGATTGCGGCGCCTTGGTCAACGACACCTGCCCGTAACAATTTGAACATACTGACCGTAGGTTCCACAAGATATCACACCCCGCGTGATGATATTTTGGTTCAAAAGTTACCACACAACAAGTGTTCGTTTAGTTTATGGGGTGTGATATCGCGTTCTGCTGGGACACCTGGAATCAATGCGAATGAATCCCATCTGACCTCTGTAGAATTGCCCGTGCTGTATTTTATTTTATTATGTTCACCGGAAATATCTCCGCTGATGATGCAGGATGATGACGCTGCAAGGACCCTTGGAATTCAATTTTTCTCGAAAATCAACAAAAAATAAAAGCCATGCAGAGCGCGCATGAACGCACATGGTCGCACACTGCTGGCCTATGCAGGATGCTTGCACATCGACACACCATGCGCTTTGGGCGTATCATGACTTGTAGGCAATAGGTCGCGTTGACAACTCACTCAGCCCACACACATTTTCAACGAAACGACCACTGCAATGAATGAACACGATGCCATTGTTTGTTGAAGCGGACACTGAAATGCGATTTTTTTCCGAATGTGTCGACAAGAAACAACAAGAGCGGTGAAGACATTTAAGACGACGACCATGTCAAGAGGAGAGAAATAGCGCACATCGTCGCACATCGTCGCACACTTTTGTGGCGTGTGTCACTGCGCTCGGAGGGTGATGAAACTTGGCGAGGGACCACGAATCACGATGCCTACCGAGGCATCCTCAAGATATCGCGAGGCGAGCGCCGTAGGGCGATGTCGGTCTGTTGGTTGCTGTCAACCAGACTCTCTGGGATTCGATTTTTCCAAAATTGCTCTAAATAGAAGAGATAAAGAGCGATAAAGAGCGATGAAGACAGGAGGACGGCAAACCGGTCAGACGAGATACTACATAGCGCGCATGGTCGCATATGGCCGCAATCTTGTGGCGTGCGCTACTGCGCGCGGAAGTCGACGAAACTTTTCGCGGCGAGGCATACTCAACATATCACGAAACGGGCACCGTACTGTAGGTCGACATCGGTCTGTTGATTTCTGCCACACAAGCTGACATAAAATTCGAGTCTTCCAAACAGAGCGATGAGGACAGTAAGACGGCAAACCGTTTAAGACGAGAGAGAAACAGCGCGCACTTGTGACGCAGGGTACAACGCGTTTTCTGTTGTGCATCCGAGGGTGACGTCATGTCAAGTGCGGTGAGATGGCCTCCCACGCCGCACGATACAGACGCTTGCATTTCCGGCAACTCCGACAACCAAGGGCGAACTACGGTACCTCGTGGTCGGGTGTGCTTTTCTGCTCGTGCGGGCAATAGCCTACAGGCGCTGATAGATGCTTACTTGTCTCTGCGCGTTGTAGAATATGTCATCCATAGCTTCCAGGCGGACCATGTTGCCGTACATCTTCAACGCCGTTTCCTTGCCGAGTTTCGGTTCTACCGCATCGGCGCGCACGCTGCCGTCGTCGTCCAGAACACGAAACACCGGCCAAACCTTCCTCCCGAGCGTTCGTTACAAATGTATAGCATGGCAGCCGGAGACAATTGATTACCAGAAGATACTTTGTAGCTTGCCGCAGTGGTAGCACGACAACGGTCAAAACAACCAAAACCGCCGAAAATCACACACAACAACCGGATGGAGGAGTGCAGGGTCTTCTCTCGCAGGCAATCGACAAAATAAACAAAACAGACGTCTTCGCTGGCGCAATGGCGACTTGCACCGGCTGGTGTGCATATCTCACCGGGAGTTTGTCGGGATCCTCGATTCGAAGGATCGACGTGAAGGGCATCTCTTTCCCACCCGCGTATACCCCAACCTTCGCCGGAGCATCTCTAGTCGCAGCTGCTGCGCGTGTTGTTTCGGATCCCGCGGAGCTCATGTGTGAAGTTGTGCTCTTGGTTACCTTCGGCAGCTTCTGGGTCGCAGCGGCCCAAGGCCGGACGCAGCGTGTCGATAGCGGCAGTGACAGCATGTCTTCCTTCCTTCCTTCCTTTCGTCCTTCCTGCCTTCGTTACAGCTACTTTTGGCTACTCTCGAGCCTCCGCCGACCGGCTCCCCGCCCACCCGCAGATGCGCCACCTGCCGCCCTCCGGCACCAAGTTGGCAACAGTAACAGTCAACACTAGTATCAAGTGAAAGCTTTCAAACTCGACACTCGCGATTCTCGCGTTTTCACTGATCTCCATTGGTTGGTTGGGTGAGCTGTGGGGCTACGTCATGTGGAGATGCATATATCAGTAAATTACAGATCGCCGGATCGTAGTGGCCATGGCTTCAGGGACCTTCGCGACATCTTAAACCGGGATCACTCATAAACCGCTGTGAGACAGAATGCTTTCAAACCTTGGCTAGCCAAACACATCAAGCCCGTTTAAGAGGGATACCTGGCCTACACTGCCACATGAAGATGCTGATGGAGGATCCGGGAATCATATTCAAAGCCCTACAGCTGCGTCAGTGCCTTATTGTGTTGGCTCGACATACATAAACAAACAAAAAAGCAAGCTCGATAAAAGCAACTCACGCACTAAAAACAGACAACTATGATGCGGGCTACATATCATGGGTCTAGTCTTAGATTCAGATTCAGACGACGAGCCCGGCCAGTCTGAACAAGGCCAAAGCCAAACGGACGAGTCCACGGGGGCAGCAGTCGTGCGTCCGCCATCGTATTCGGGGGTGGCAGAACTCTAACTACTTTGCGATCTCGAGGACATTGCGGATATAAAATGCGGCACGCACAACGTTGTTTACCATTCCTGCAAGGGCAAGCCGCGTGTAGCTTGGATGAGCGAGTGCGGGTCGAGCACAGAAAAACAGGCGTTCATGAAAAAACTTCGTCTACCGTGGCACAGAGGCTGGAGATAATGCTGAGGCTGGGATCGGGAGTGCGCAAAGCTGTCGCAGACACGGTGTATCTCGTCATTATCGCCATGCGTTTGACCACACGCCACAAACCCCGTGGTGTTGGCTTCTGCATACCCTGCTTGGGTGCGTCGTCAAGTCTGGTGGGCTGGAATATGATCGAGGACGCTCAAGCAGTGGATGCCCGCAGACCAGCGCATAATATCTGCGGCTTGCGGCGTGTGCAATGTGCGGCTCTTCCCGTCAGGGGGTTAATTTCAGAGAATACGACAGGAAAAATACAATTTCTCTCTTACGTATATCGAACATGGCCGTGACAAGCCAGAAAAAACTCTCTCCAAATCCGATGTTCTCCTAAATACACTCTCCTAAGAGATGGATGCCAGACCCTTCTGACGCTGGCTCTATTCCCTATTGGGCCTGCAGCCGAACTGACTGATCATTGATTGATCATTTGCAAATGCTGCTGAGGTGCCAAGTCGTCGAGTTCCCGCCCTCTGTGGCCGTCCACGCCGGGTGTTGGGAAGCCCATAGGGGTGTCTTTATTCTTTGTATCGACCGCGCTAACCGGCTGGCCACTGAAAAGGCGTCAGTCCCAGCGAGTAACCTACCTGTAGGTAGGTCTCGGGAAGCGGGCCAAAATGCATGTTAGCGCAACGCGCAAAATGCGAAGCCAAAACTGATGTCTCTAGACTACATAATATTCGACAGAGACACACATCACAGCACCATGCATACCCTCGCACGAACCTAGGCAACCACTGGTCCAAAGGGCGGAGGGCTGCAACAAACGGGTGATTTCAAGGCCAGCCGAAGCCAGGATATCGCGGTATGCTGCATCATCAATCATTTGTACAATCGCACATCATTCCAAAGATCCAGCAGGCATCGTGTCAGCTGCTACACTACACAACAGCAGCAGTGTAGACGAGTCAAACAAAATAGCGTAGACGATATGTGCATACACATCATAGCTCCCCACATACCCTCGCCCGAACCTAGGAAGCCGCTACGTAGGCGTGTGCTGGTGTGCTTGTGTGACTGTGGGGAAAATCAGGAGCTCTAGTGAGCCGGCAGGGCTCACACGAGGGGGGTGGACAGAGAAGTACAAAACTACAAATACCAGCTATGGCCCTTGACTGATTATTTGATTGATCATTAGCGGTATATACAAAAAATAGAGTGGACGACTGATCATTTCAAGGTCTACACTCTGTTTGTGGCCACCACCCTGTCGCGGGCTGCCCGCATGATCTTTTAGGTGGAGATAACTGTTGCAGTACGCTGCAGTTCTATTCTGTACGTCCGTCTCTTTTTTTTTCTGCGGTGGTGGTAGGAAAAAAAATTGACGCCGAAACGGAATCTAGGGCCAAAGGGGTTTATTCAATATTCCAAAAGAAAGCAACATAATCAGTAGAGGGCATCATAAAGAGGCGTCGTGTGTGCTGTCGCGTTCAGGTTATATATCGAAGGTCGTCTTAGTCGCCTTCCATTTCCGCAAAATTGACCAAACTAGACCGACGCCCTGTGTCTTGTACTGCCACCACGGACCGTAAACCCCTGAACGGCGGGTCGTCAGCAGTAGCTAGTGGCATCAGCTGCTGCAGCATACCCGCTGTTCAGGAGATTGGGGTCAGTGGCGGCGAGCACAAGCAGTACAAGACACCGGGCGTTGGTTGAATTTGGTCAAATTTGAGGAGATTGTAGGCCGCGCTACTACAACTTTCGATATTTCAGCTCCAGCAGCAAACCTGAACGTGCCAGCACACACGACGCCTCTTCATGGTGTCCTTTACTGATTAAAGTGGTCAGGGCCGATTTGAAACCCGAACTTACTATGTTTGAGCGCCCGCCGTTCTGTCTCTTGCGACATGGATTATTTATAGTCGTGATAATGTTTATCTCAATTTTAATGGGTTCCAGAACAAGAATTTGAAATGTGATTTTGACAAATTGTGAAATCGAACGCAAGAGCACCAGAACGCACAAGAGACACACAAGAGGACCAGTCGGAAGGCATCGCGAAAAACAGAAATCGTTGATTTCCGCACGGGGCGGCAGTAGAAGCTGCTCAAAACAAAAAAATCACGCGTCTACCTCCACATGTCTCCTTTGAAACCAAGTTAAAAGTTCACACGATTGTAAATTTAAGTCAATTGAGCCAAAACGGCCGGCGCTCAAATAAGCTCTGTGTTGCCAGGAACCTGGTGCATAGTACAAGTATCACTAGAGAACATCCTATTGCAGCGGGGAGTGCGTGTTGGCGCGCTCGAAACTGCTTCTATGGTGGTGGTGGTATCGAGGGTCGTAGTAGCGGCCTACAATCTCCGCAAATCTCTACAAATGAGACCGACACCCAGTGTCTTGTACTGTTTGTGCTCGCCGCCACTGACCCCAATCTCCTGAACTGCGGGTTTGCAGCAGAAGCTGATGACACTAGCTACTGCTGACCGTTCAGGGGTTTACGGTCCGTGGCGGTGAGCACGGCTGTGACTAATGTTTGATGCCGCTTGGTTCAGGCACAGATTTCGGACTGTTTTCAGAGACTGCTGCGACCTTCGATATTGCAGCTCCAGTAGCAAACCTGAACGTGCCAGTACGCACGACGCCTCTTGATGGTGTCCTCTTTTGATATTAGTACAAAGTACCAGGTTCCCCGGCGGGAAGGTTGTCTTCTATATGTTGGATGAAAGGATGAGAAGAGAGCCTGCGTCATAACCGCTGTTTGGAGGTGTGTGGAGGTAGACTGCATGAAATGTACGTCTTGAACAGCCTCACCTCTACTGCCGCCCTATGCAAGAATGAACGATTCCTGTTTTCCCGATGGCTTCCGACTGGTCTTGAGTAGCTCGTGTGCATTTACTGGTGTTCTTGCGACTATTTTCAAAATCGGTTAAGGGGGTGCAGAAAAGGGGTTGTGACGTTGGCTCTTTTTCCCATACTTTAATCCTTTACAAAGAAAGAAAACAACCTTCCCGCCAGGGTTAGGTGTCGCATTCTGTTGTCATCAGTAGAGGACATCATAAAGAGGCGTCGCGCGTGCTGATACGTTCAGGTTTGCTGCTGGAGCTGAAATATCGAAGGTCGCAGAAGCCTCTGAAAACCGTCCGAAATCTGCGCCAGAACCAAACGGCATCCAACATTTGTCA